AAGTCCCCACCCATACATACACGCATGCAAACATGCGTCGGGGGCGCATACGTGCAAAAAAGACTATTGCGCCCATTGCGCCGCACATGTTACATATCGCCGCGAACGTCGGAGTGAGAGCAATAAGTTTAGGGCCATAAATCACTGATAACACTAAACTGATGAGCGGTAAAAGCTTTTAAAGTGTCGCCTATGGCCAATTTTGGGTATGGTAGTTTTCTGCAATTTCGCGGGTGCGCGCAATTTTAAAGCTTGACATGTTTGGTGTCTATTTACCCGACGTGACCCCGTCTTTTATATTTTACCAAAAAACTGGTTAATAATAAATGTTTCCTAACATAATGTAAAAAAATACTTTTTTTTTCACAATTTTCTGTAATTTTTCCTAATTATAATAAAAAATAAAAACCCCAGTGGTGATTAAATACCCCCAAAATAAAGCTCTATGTGTCCCCACAAAATGGTATAAAATTCATTTCAGTACAGCGCTGCATGACGGAATAAACGTCAGTCAAAGGACTGCAGCGCTGAACACTGAAAAATGGCCGGGACAGGAAGGAGGTCTAAACACCTGGTCTTGAAGTGGTTAAAGCAGCCAGAGAAATGACAGAGTGACACCGGAAGTGATGTAATACACATCACTTCCGCTTTCAGTGATCGGAGGGGAGATCAGATGGTGGTGTGCTGATCTCCCTCCGATCAAACTACAGGGAGCCAACGTGCCGGTCCCGGGCCCGCAAGGAGGACTGCAAATCCCGGGATAGCCAGTGGCGGAGGCAGCGCACACTTCCGCAGCACTATACAAGAGATGGGGCGGCTTTTTAGCTTCTCAAACACTTGTATGTAAGAGCCGTTGCCGCCTGTTTACAATGTTCAAACTTACACGTGTGCACGAGCGGAAAAGGTCGTTTATAAATGGTCACCTGCCATAAACAGTGAGCCGTCCGGCTGTTTAATTACCACAGCCAGGCGGCAAGTGGTTAAAGGAGTTTTAAAGTCCCAGCATATCCTCTGCTGTTATAACATCAGCATAATAACAGCAATACATACTAAAAAATCTGACTCCTGCAGGTGGCAACATAAGCCGTTGGCCAAGATATTTTCAGTGAGCGAGTGCTGCCTTCTATCCGCCCATCACTTTCTATAACTCACTGGAATCTCGATTTCCAGAGACTACATAACCCATCATGCAATGCTTCTAGCAAGCAATGATAATGTTACATTATTCATTTCACTGCCCCAAACGTGAATGAAATTCCCGCTGAAGACTTGGAAATGAAGAAGCTTCGCAGATGACATCTCACCTTATAAATATAGTTGGCTGATTCCGTCATTTCGGAAAAGTTGGTCTCTGACAGCCCTGCCTGGCCCAGAATCCTGATCTTCTCTTGAATCATCGGCCTGATAGGGAGCAACATAATAAATGTGAGTTTATCTGTGACAGGTGAGCCCATCGCTCATTGAGCACCTCGAGCCGCAGTGCTGCCACCTGATCCAGGTGATGAGTTCCCTTCTGGTATATGAGTGACAGGTACACTTACATTTAGCACACAAAGTAACCGGAGCGCATCCATATAGGAAGGATCTCTTACCACAAATAGTCATCGGCTGTTCCCTTCGCCACCAGGTAGTGAATATTCACGGAGCTCGTCTGTCCTATTCGGTGGACTCGATCTTCTGCTTGAATGAGAACCTGGAAAATCAGAATGCACAAGAAAAGGTCAGAACTTACCCCCAACTATTAACCCCCCCCCTCCCCCCCCGACTGAAGAAACGACTCAAAGAGAATATTCAACCCTGTGTTGGTATTATGTATAGCCACACCCCTTTTCACTATGCCCCACCCCTTGTTGCTGGTGTGTTGTGGCTAGTGCAGAATACTATAATGTCACTTTAAATGTGCAGGGATTTCCATGTGACCCTGATTGTGGCCCTCAGAGGCTTCACTAGGCATGGCGTCACCCAGTGCGGCCGCCGCGTGTCACGTCATTACGCACGTGTGTGCATAATAACGTCACGTGCAGATAACTTGGTGATGGATGCCGGCAAAGAGAGGAGGGGACATTCATCCAGCAGGATAAGGTATGCCGCCTGTTCCCCTCCTCTCCCCTGCAGCTGTTGGGCTCTTGGCCAGTGACCGAGTAACTGATTTTTCAGAGGGGGGTGATATTGTCACTCCCTCCGCACCCCCTTGTGACGCCACTGGTGGCCCTGGCTCTGATGGCTATTGTTCTAATGTGGTACCAAGCTCTCAACCTTTTTTTTAATAATATATCCACATGAAACAAATATACACAGCTGGCTCCATCTCTCTTAGCTCAGCTTCTCTGAACTTCCCAGAACTTCCTGTTGAGTACAAGATTACAATGCACAGAAGCAGCAGCAGCAGCTGTCCATCCACTAGCTCGGAGAAGGAAAGAAGGAGCAGAGAGCAACAGCTTGCCTTGCTGTGCCTGTGGAAACACACACAGCTTACTAACACACACATGGTTGGCTCCATAGGATCCTGCAAGGAAAAGGAGCCACCCTAAAAGAGGATTGCAGAATCAGCTGGTCCCCTGAGCAATGGATACTGATAGCCTGGTAAGGACAGATTTCTATAGGATATTAATATGCAACACTCAAAGTGTGCCATATTAATGATTGGTGGGCTTGGTGAAAGGTGTTTGATTGTAACCCCTGCACCTCTTCCAGCATCAGTTACCTTTGCAGCTCTTGGCATCTGATCACATGACGTCTCAGAGCCCACAAAGGGTCCTGGAGGACTTCCCTCTGCCTCTGATCACAAATATGAATGGGGAGCATGTAGCTATAGAACGGCAAGCATGTGTCACTGATGGCAGGTCCTGATCTGATCGAGTTCTGAATGGAGAAGTATCTCTGCTCAGACCCACCAGCCCAACTTACTGTAATAGTTAGGGATGCAGCGATACTAGCATTGGTATCGGTGCCAAGTATTCGGGCGAGTACTCTTACTCGCCCAAATGCTCCGATGCCTAGCCCGATACTTCTTGTATCAGGAATCCGGGCAGCTCGTCATTACATGCTACCCAGCTTCCCGATTGGCCGGGAAGCTGGCTCCATGCTCCCTCGTCACTTTCTGATTGGCCAGGAAGCCAGCTTCATGCTCCCACGTCACCTCATTACGAGGGAACATGGAGCCGGCTTCCCGGCTAATCAGGAAGCCGGGCGTCGCGTCATTACACAGCGCCCGGCTTCCTGATTGGCCAGAAAGCCGGCTTCTTGTCACCTTGTGACGAGAGAGCATGGAGCCGGCTTCCCGGCCATTTAGGAAGCCGAGCAGCGTGTAAAGACCCGGCGCCCGGTTATCTGATTGGCCGGGAAGCTGGCCAATCAGGAAGCCGGCGCCGTGTAATGACTCGGCGCCCGGTTATCTGATTGGCCGGGAAGCCGGGTTCATGCTCCCTCGTCACATAGTGACGAGAAGCATGGGGACGGCTTCCCTACTAATCGGGAAGCCGGGTGGCGAGTCTTTACACGCCGCCTGGCTTCCTTAAATGGGATTTACAGTATCAATATTCGGTATCGGTGAGTAGCGGAAAAAAAAATATCGGTACTCGATACCAAAATACCGGTATCGGTGCATCCATAGTATTAGTATTGTCCCGAGGGACACATGCTCCCCTTATTCCTCAGCCCCATCCTCCCCAAAATCATTTTTTTTCCCTATACAGCTTTTGCCACATCACATTATAATAGCCGCCATTGCATTTATCACTTGATATTTTTATTGTGATAGAACTTATCACAATAAAAATGTATTGGTATCGGTGCCGAGTATTCGGGCAAGTACTCGTACTCGCCCAAATGCTCCGATGCCTAGCCCAATACTTCCTGCATCAGGAATCCGGGCAGCGCGTCTTGATGATCATGTGTACAGCGAAGAAATTCTGAGGAACCAATCATATTTTAGATTAGGGTTGCACAGATACCAAGTACAGTACTCGGTACAAGTACGAATACATGTACCGATACTTTTGAGCTCCAAGACTACACTAGAGAAAAATAAAAAAGTTAGGAGGCGGCTGTCATGTGTAAGGAGCACACGGAGCTCCCGGGATTTGTACATCTCCGTTTTAATGTAGGATTTTGTTTTTATAAATATAAATAAAGTGATGCACAGATACCAGTTTTGCGAGTACGAGTACTGGTACTTGCCGAGTACTTACAAGTACGAGTACTGATACATTTATGTTTATTGTCATGTGACAGTTTTTCTAAAACAATACAGACTAATGATTTCAGGACAGTGGTGGAGCGCCAGACCAGATGCTGTTCTGTTAAATCCGTGCGCTGAACACTGAAATGATAATGATGTTACACACGTCATTATTTTAGATGTGAACGCTGATATTCTTAAATTCGGGTTGAGTTCGGAGAACGGCAGAGCGGTAAGATATTTTTATGAAAGCGGCTGTTCTCTGAAAGCCACTTGATGCTGAATGGCAGTTCAGGTCAGATTTACCCGAGTAGGCGGCACCCTTGTACTTGGAAGCAATTTGAGACTCTTAAGAGGATGTTAAGAGCAGCTGCAAATCCCAATTTTCAGCACCAAGAGGCTGATTGGGCACTTGGCTCTGAACCTACGAGGACAGAAATAGACATGCAGAGAAGGTGAGATTCCTGGAAGGAACAAGCACCTGTAATAAACAGAAAGCTTGTGCACCCTTACTGCAATTTTCTCTGTCCTTGACGAATGTGCATTCTTAGGGCTCATGCACATTGGGGATCGAAGGAGCTGGTCGGAAACTTTTTATATCAACAGAGCCGGCAGCCAATGAGCAGGGGGATTCCTTGTTCCCCACATCCTATACACTGCAAGGGTTAAGATTTTATTTGCCCGGACTTCCTTAAAACCAAACGCACGCAAGGAGACATAAAGCTACATGTCACCCCATTGCCTATAGCAACAAGATGAGCAAAAATCCCTATACATCTTCTACATACATCTGCAATGCATACTGACCCAGGCTATTAAACCGGCAGACAGAGCCTCACATATAGCCGCTATTCACTAATAAAGGGACATTACAGTTCATTTCATTATTCAAACCATTAGGGGTCATAGTTCCCAAGTGGTAGATCCACATTGTTTCTTTTTTAAGGAGTTCCTTATGAAAATCTCCCCTACATGGAGACCACATCCCTGAGGAATGGGAATGTTGTTTTGTATTTATTTTGTATTAAAAGGATTTGCATAGTATCACGGTCCAAGAGTCCCCTTATGCTCTATTATCTTGTAGAACCTGCATGTGTACTGTTCAAATACAGTAGTGCATTCACATGTAATTATAGACTACATGTAGAAACAATGTTTAAAAAACACAAATTGCTGAGCTTACAATAAAGCCTAACTGAACCCTAGTGTAAAACTCTGACAACAGCTTCCCTTGGACAGTATAACGGCAAGTGACCAGAGACTTAGCGTTTATTTAGATGGGAAAACAGCCCACAGCCATAGTACAAAGTCTGTCTGCCCTCTGTGGTGTGTTAGAAGCAGTCCTCTCTGCTCCGGTCTGACAGCTCCCTGTGAGCCAGAAGCTTTGTTCACGGAGGACTGTCAGACCGGAGCAGAGAGGGCTGCTTCTAACACACAGAGGGTGGCAGTCCGCGAAACTGTTTTACCATCTAAATACAATCCAAGGCTCTGCTCACTTCCAATTACAGTGCACTGTTAAGTTATTGTCACAGTTTTATACCAGGGTTCAAATGGGATTTAACATTTACTGTATGCCTTAAAGGAAAATACATACACACTGTATATAGACAATGTTTGTTTTACAAGTGTATATATATATAT